AAAAGAAGGGGGGAAATGATGTCACTAAATTTCTTTAAAAATTCAATGGTAAGCCCATCTGGGCCAGGAGATTTATTATTTGGAAAAGAAAAAAAAATGGCTCTGTTAATCTCTTTAAGGCTTATGGCTGCATCTAAATGTTTAACTGCGTCTTAATTTAATTTAGGAAGATGCAAATTAACTAAGAAATTAACTGCAGTATTTGGTATACATCTTCATAAAATTTAGCAAAGCACTTATTTATATCAGTTGGATTATTTATGAGATGGCCGCTACTTGATCTAATTGAATGAATAGCGCAAGATGCTTGGGCCTGCCTCAGCTGACGAGCAAGCAACTTTTGTGGATTGTCTCCTAGTTCAAAATATTTTTGTTTAACTTGATTGAGCATTTTTAATACACTTTTAGACATAAGCACATTATATTCATATTTTAATTCTCTACATGTTTTTCATGTATGATAAATATGATGAGATGCTAAATAAGATGCTAGTAGTTAGCAGTCAGAGAAAAGTGGGATTTTCCTGTTTTCTGGCTCTTTTGCTTTAGATTCAGTGGGGAATCTTGATACTGTGACTCTGCGATAAAGAGAAAGAGGAGTTTGATGTGCAGATAGTAAAGCTCGTCGGACAGTTCAAATCTAGTGCGTTTGTGTGTTTGGAGATCAGCGTGTCCAGACACATCTGCCATCACCGTGACCTTTCTCTCCTCACAGAGGACGCAGATACTAAACAATAAAAAGCTGCTTTTGACTTGAGTAAATGCTCAAATCAGAGTTCTTCTGGAGCTGATATCTGTCAGTTTGTCAGGCTGTGATTCACACTTTGACGTGAGAGATAACAGACAGAATATTTGCTGAAATACTATAGAATGGCATTGACTCCAAATCATGAGCAAATCTAGAGTTAAACTGTCTCTTTTCTTGGTGCAAAGGGTCAAGGGAATTCTCTCTGTCTCAGTTTGTCTGTCTTTATCTTGCTGGATGAATCTCTTGAAACCCGTATTGAACATATCTGGCATGTGGATGAAAAAAGATTATTATCTTATAGTGTTATTATAAAAAAAACATAAATTTTTATTGATCATTTGCATTGATTTTGAATGTTTAAAAAAAATCTAATTCTCATTATTGTAATGTGAATAAAATGTGTAAAATAGTATTTAATAAAAATTAAGCATACATTTATTTTTTGTGGTATATTGCAAAAAAGCTACATTTTATTTAGGTAAAATGTAATTTAATGTGTTTTCTCTTTTGATTGTGGCCTGAAATGTCACCGTAACCTTGAGGACCTGAGGTAGTTTTTATAGTTCATATGAAATCTATTAAACCTCCTCCGTCGCGGTTACAGCACACTTCTGTACAGACAGTCAAAGCATTGACTCGCTCCGCAGGAAGACCATTTCAAACCGCGTTTCCATGGAGAAACAACTTAAACAGGAAGTGGAACTCTGGGTCCACATGAAAGTTCTGTATTAATATCTCCATTTATTCCCCTAGACTACAAATGGACACTTTTGCTGGCTCTCAGAACTCACAAGAGATTTGTGTCTCATTCCTTAGAATTTAAGAAGAAAAATTCGGAGAAAAAGCTGTTAGTTAAAAGAAAGGGAGCTGAGATCTCTAGTACGTCTCCTGCATGACATGTCGGCCTACAGTCAACTCGCTGTACTCTCACAGAACATCGTCTTATGATCACGTCCCACGTCTCGTTAGCTTGTTCTCGTTACCTTTTACGAGTGCGGCATCTTAATGAGTCACAGTGGCTTTCAAGGACAAGCCTGCAGGAAACACACACGTCTTTAAGTCACTGATAGAGTTTGATAGTGGCTGAATTGTCGAACGCCCTCACGCATGTCTGAGAAAGACATTGAAAAATTCATATTCACAATGAGCAATGATTCATTTTCCCAATGCAAAATTCACAACACACATTCCTGAAAATACCAGACAGCTGTTTCTTATAACATGTTGGAAATGGACTTTGTGGTAAGATATAATTAATGATTATGGATTTTAATAATGAACTCTAATAACTTAAACAGGCCTCATCAATAAGGTGCATCTAGACTGTAAAAAAAATCTGTAGTTTACCATAATAATGCAGGTGGTAAAAGAGAAAGCCACATGAAGAATCAAAGCTCATCACAAGTAGCTTCGCCACAAGCAGAAGTATATACTAATATATAGAAGGTGCACAGAGTCATTCATGCAAACACAAACACCATCATCGTAACACACAATACTTAAATAATGCAATAAATTTCATTAAACAACAGAAGATGTAACATAAAGCCCAAATGTACATAACTGATACAAAAACTATTAAAAAAACATGATTATTTAAACAAAATACTTTCAAATGTGGAGTGTCACGCAGGGAATTCTGGGAATATCAGTTTATAGTTTTTGACTGTAAATTATACATTGATTTGTTCTTTTTTACTTCTAAAAACTGTAACATTAACAGCAGTTTTACTGTAAAATTACATGAAATGTCTGGTTAGATCTTTTACAGTTTTTCCCTGTATAAAGTACGGGAACTTACTGGTAACCTATTAAAAGTTTTTTTCCGTAGCGTTTTTACAAAATTTTGCAGTTAAAATTACACTTATTTTTTACAGTGTACATATTACGTTTGTTGATCATGATTTAATGCCTTGATAAAGTAACCGTTTTATTTTCTGTGGCATATTGAATATTATTTTTGCAAATGCTCTGGATTTAAATATGTAACTCAGATCAAGTTATCTAGCTCTGTTGAAATTGTGAGAATGATTTGTGATTATTATTAAAGCATACGTTCTGGGATGAAAATATTTAATTAACTGATACTTATACTTAGTATCTATCAGCTAATTAATCCTTATTGTTGACCCTTAAGAAATAGCCAGTGTATTATTTATTTCTTATTCAGAGTGCAGTTCTGGACTATTTTTGGTTTTAAAAATCAATCAAATCAAACATCCAATAGTTCTATTTATTAGTGCCCTGTTTGTCTTTATAACCTTTCATTAAAAGCCTTTGAAATGACTTTCCTTTTCACTAATATCACAGAGGCCATGCAGGCGATTCGATTATATGAACTCATTTTTTATTGAATGTGTATTTGATGTTACATACATTTATTTACACTGTAAGGAATTACCAAATTAAAAAAAAATAGCGATTAGCTATCACAACTTAAAATTCAACATTAGAATAAGTAACAATGTGTTTTTCAACTGTTTTAAAAGTTAGTTAAATTTAGTTAAGTTGGATATTTAAGTTATCTCAACACATTTTAAGTTGTTATAACTTAAAACTGCAGCATATAATTGCAGCAACATTTTTTGGAGTTTAGTGATTTCTTTATTAGCATTTTTCAATTTATTTAGGTGGAAATGAAATATGTACAAAAATGGGAATATGTACAAATGAGCAATTATATTAAGCTTTTTGTTAATGTTTGGAAATTCACATGAGAAAACGTTGCACTACAGATGAAAAAAAATGGCAATTTGCTGTTTCCTGTTCATTATGTCGAGGTTTCCATGATAAAAAAAAAAAAAGCATTCATTATTTTGGTGGGAAGGGTTAATATTGGAGAAAAATGAAAAATGTTGCAGTTGTATTAAACCTTAATTAAGGTTAAAAGTTAAGGTTCAATTCAAGTTAAGTTTTGGAAAAGATTTAAATAAATATTCCAATATTCCAATATTCAATCAACTTATTTCATAAACACCCACTATATATATATTATATGTTAATGTTCTGCGTTTATTATCTTCATATTGATATTAATATTATCCAGTAACCCACTAGCTAAGCATTGATTTAGGCTACTGAACAAACAAGCCTAGCTTTATTCTTTATACTTATTCTAAACTACTATACCTTATTCTTTATACAAGTAAAAGTAGCAAGTCATTTATTCATGTGTTTATATTTTATGCATATTTAAATTTTTATTTTGGTGGAAGGGGTTAATGTGGGAGAAAAAATGAACGGTTTTGCAATTATATCAAGCTTTTTGTTAATGTTTTGGAAAAGATAAAAGAATGAATATTCAATTTAATTAGTTTAATAAACACCCACTATATTTATTATATGTATTATGTTGATTATTCATGTTAACATTAATTCATATTAATATTGATACTATCTACAGTAGTAGCCAATATCCAGCTTTCACACAAAAATATGTTGCACTGCAGAAGTAAACTTATTAATTTGCATGCTATAAATCAGGATTTTCATGACCAAAAAGCTTTAATTTGGCATACTTGCTACAGTGGGACATAAGAAGTTAAAGGGGTCATATGATGCGATTTCAATTTTTCCTTTCTCTTTGGAGTGTTACAAGCTCTTGGTGCATAAAGAAGATCTGTAAAGTTGCAAAGACTAAAGTCTCAAATCCAAAGAGATATTCTTTATAAAAGTTAAGAGTCAACCACGCCTACCTAAAACGGCTCGTTCTAACACACCCCCAGTTTGAGAGAGGCGGGGCATAGAGGACCTACAATAATGTACAGTATTTGAAAAATAATGTGTTTTTTGAACATTAAAGCATGTCAACATATTCTGTTACACCAAATACACAAAATAATGATCTTTAAAATAGCATCATATGACCCCTTTAAGCAAAGTAAAGTAACAAGTTTTGCCTCTCAATCCACAGATCAGCATATTTATATTGGCATGAGCAAAGATTAAGCAATGACAGTCTGTTTAATTAGTAATAAGGTCACATCTAGTCAATCCTTGTTTTCTGCAGTCTTTTCTCCGCTGGAAATTATTGTAAAGATTCTTTTTTGAGTATTCTTTAGCTGAATGATTGACTCCCACTACAACAGCTCTGCCCCTCTTTTTCATAGTCGTTCCAAACCCATGTGACTCTCTTTATTCCTTAATTTCTGGAGACGTTCTCTGATGCCCTGAAGATCTCAGCTCTGTAGAGAGCTTGTGTTGTTGGATGTGTGGTGTGTCAGTGTCACTGACTGGCTTCTGCTCTCCTCAGAGGAGGGAAGAACGAGCCGGAGCCGGAGCAGCCGGTGCCCAGGAAGGTGGCGATCCGCAGCGTCCCGTCAGCCGACGACATCGACCCGGACGTCCTGGAGAGCATGCACTCGCTGGGCTGCTTCCGGGACAAGAGCAAGCTGATGAAGGACCTGCTATCGGACGAGTGAGTATCAGGAGCTTCTGCACTAAAGACACTATAGACACATCTTTAAGTCCCACACAAAAATGGATGAAGATCTTGTTGTTTAGAATTAAAGATGATGTATGTCAAATGAAACGACTTAACCTCTTCTCCACAGTCTCAAATCCACCCTGTCTTATTTTCCTGATATTGTTAGTTTTATCTGTATATCTTATCGATCCATTAAACAGTTCTTTCTAGCTAGAAGGCAGCCAAGGGAAATGCAGCCATTTTGTTTGATTTAATGTGCTTATTTACATTTTTGGTAAACGGCTGTTTCTCGTCCTCTCATCAGTGAGAATCAGGAGAAGATGATCTATTTCCTTCTGTTGGATCGTAAGGAGAGATACCCCAGCCATGAAGACCAGAACCTCCCTCCTCGCAATGATATAGGTATGTAATAATCACTCTGAATAATGAAACAAAACATTTATACAAGAGCATATGTTATGTACAGAATTTTGAATTGTATATGTATGTAGAATTTTTAATCGACTTTAATTTAATTTATATATATATATATATATATATATATATATAATTAATTACTTGATGTGTTATTGTGTTAAATGAGAAAATCATCA